AAAAAGAAAAGTACGGAATTTTCAACAAATTCTTGTCGTGACGCACGGCTCTATTTTAGTTTCCTTTTACTTTTTACTCAAATTCTATTCCAACCATTTTATTATTAACTCTGATCTTAAAAGCCATGCCTGGCAATAGTGAATCAAAAACGGAACATATTGTATCAATTAATAAAATAAATAACACCTTAAATAGCATATATAAAACTTAATGTAATTTTTTATATTTATAAATCTGTATAAAATATATATATGTATATATTATTATTTCTTTAAAATTTAAAATAAATTTCTATTAATAATTTCGTTCCGTTTTTCTCACATCGGGTTTTAGCGTAAGTTTGAAAATGGGGTTAGTTTTGAAAAGTTGATCTACTTAAAACATATGGAAAAGGGTAAATTAATGCGTATTTTTTTAGTATTTAACTTAAAAAGAATTAATAATTTTTTTGTTTTGATTATTTAAAAGTAAATTGTCTATTATTTTTGTATATATATTTTTTTAAATAAATAATTTAATTGTGTTATTACCGTTACTATGACAACCGAGTAATCAAAACTTTCCTTGATTTGATTTGTTAATATTTACAAGAAATTTAAATTAATTAAAAATAAAATTAAAATTAAAAAAATTTACATTTGATAAATTAAAACACAGTAAGAAGATTTTTGAAATAATTTCAAAAAATTGTTTAGGAATTTTTCAATTTTAATTAATTTAAATGATTTGGCAGAACACCTAAACTGCACTTGTATCATATTAATATCTTAATTCATAGACATTATAATTTGTAATGATTATTTACAAATTTTTTGATTGATTGATATTTTTAGTAAGTAATGTGATTTTAAATATGAATAAGAAATACATTCAATTGGTTTCTCTGTGGTTGATGTTCATGACTTTTCTTCTGTGATTTTGCCCTTATATCTTTTCATCTTTTTATGATTGAAATCATCACGTAGGGATGGGAGCGAGTCTTTGGGCTCGAGCTCTTTGCTGAGAAACAGAAACACAGCTTAGAAAGTGTTCACGTAAAAAGCTGTTTATCTGTACCTATTCTCCAAGTTGAAGAGAGAATAATGATGATTTCTTAAGAGTATGGGGAAAAACATAGAAAAACAATTTATTGTTTCTGTCGAGTAGTATATAATAAGTGTGGTTATTCTAGAACGAGCGTGGTCACAAGTTGATCGTGATTGACCGGTCAATCGCTGCATCGTGTTTGGTCAATCGTGGATATGGCTTGTTAAAATATGAAAAACATTTGTAATTTTAATAGAAATATTTTTTTCTGTGAAATCGTTTAATTATTGTCTATGGGTTAGTAACACTGTGCTCTATTAGATGGATAGGAAGAAGTGCTCTTTGTGTCGATGGTCATTGAATTGTTACAGGTATGTTGTTATTTTAGAAATTGTTTTATTGTACTGTTAACAATTCAGTTGGGTGCAAAATGAGTGCACTGAAGAGATGCAAGACATAATTTCTGTGACAAAAAAAAAAAATACAGTTTTTTTGTTGTGATGAGAAATAAATGGTGTCCTCTAATTTATACCTTAGTGTCTTTATCAAAAAGATATAACCTGGAATGTTAATTATTGTGCAATAAATAAATACTATCATTTTTTGCAGAATGATTTCATTAGAGTGGATTAAGGTTTCATGAAATGAAAATGTGGAATAGATCATTGATGCTTGTGAAATTTGATCACTCCTATAAGTTAGCCAGGCCTGCCCTAGAATAATGGGGCTGTCAACCTGTAGTGTATGCACCTCTGAGAGTATGGGGCTCTTTCTGGAGTGCAAGACTTTGTGTTAAAGATGTTTAAATATATATATATATATATATATATATTTAATTAGTACCAATCAAAATGAAAAAGAAGTTTTTCATTGTCTAACAAATGGTACTTTTGAGCCTTTTCCTAAAAATATGAATTATTATGCTACTGATTGAAGTGTTTTCTGATCTTTTCATCATCTTTTGTTCCTGTTTACTTGTGTGCATGATTAATTCTAGAAGTTTCACCTTTTGTTGAATAGTTCTAGCTTGGCACATCAATCTTGTTTGTTATTTATTTGTTTATAGGCCAAGGTTTGTGATTATCCCTTTCTTGGTAATGATGATTACAGAGAGAAAAAAAAGGAATTCTACTTCATTCTGACTTTGTTATAATCAGATAAAAAAGATGAAACTGTTGTTTTTTCTGACAAAGCACTATAATTTGAAAATAATAATTTAATGTTGGTATGAAATTTGTACTAGATTTGTCTTCAAAAACAGTAGGAAATGTATTTATACATTTAAAAGTTTCACAGTTATTATCTTAAAAAAGTTAAGCATGTTATAAAATGTAAAAGTTTATTTCTTTATAATTTTTTTGTGTACTAAAATTACTTAAAAAAGCAGAAAAATTTTCTTTCTGTTGTACTGATGGACAAGAAAATACTCAATTTTTATAGAATTGGTTAAGAGAATGAATCATACAGGGACTCTATTTTAAAATAAAAGGACTGACAAGGAACATATTGTTTGAAATGCATATCCTCTGGAATGAATAAAGTTTGTATATCTATCTTCATTGTGTATCCCTGTGTGATTCATTTTCTCAAGCAATTTTATGCTTACTCCTGACATTTAAAATGAATACAAGAGGCAATCAAGTACAATAAATACTCAATTTTTGTCTGAATTTATGTTTTTCTTTTTATATTTTCATTGTACTTTTTAGCAATATACAGGAAAAAATCTTAATCTTGCATTTCATCTTTGTATAATTATTGAATATCTAGAAAAACATTTGAGAAAGAATTTAAAAACCTTTTAGAATAATTTTAAGGACCTAGTTTTACATTCTTCATTAAGTATCTCAGAGTCATATCAAGAAATTAGTGCTTCTATATGAAATTTTGAAATAATGGAGAAAATTTAATAAAATAATTTAATTTTAGCTCATAAAAATAAGAAAATTCTTTCCATGTTTTAAAAATTAGACAATATGAAACAGATGCTAAAGAACTTGTTAGTTTGAAACTACATAAGATAAAGTCCATTCTTGAAAACTGTTTTATTTTATGTTTTATTATGTATTTTATGTGTGTTTCTGGATTATGAAGTTTTTTAATCCTCACTGTTCATTTCCACAGTTTGAAACTTAATAAGAAAATTGATTAATAATAAATTATTGATCAGTTTTTAATTTAACTGCATTAGACAGATATAATTTTTGAAATCCAAAGAAAATCCTGATTGACATCCACACTGCACTTTTAGATAGCCAAATATTATATAAATATCAAGATGTTTCAGATTTAGTTATGAAAAATTGTCCAAAACAGAACATTGATCTAAATGTTATAGAATTGAACAACAGTTTAAATTAACATAAATATTATTTAAAATTAAATGCAATAAACACTGTTGTAAAAATGGCCAAAAATTTTTTTACTTGTAGATGGTTTAATTCTAAAGTCCAAATTAAAATTTTGTTGTCATTTTTCTTTATTGCAAAAATAAACCTGTAAATAAAAAAATGTTGGTTCATTTTTGCATCTTTAAAGGGTGATAGTAATGTTTACAAATGCACGTATATTCCATTGGACTTTACTTTGTCTTGAAAAAGGATTGCGTGCATATGGTTAATTTAGTTATTGGTGTTAATTATATCAGCATTATTATCTTCTATTAATATTTATATTTATTAAAAATTCTCAATTACAAATTAACAAAAAAGGGAGACTTATTATTCTATCAGTTTCCTCTATAACACATTAAAATGAACCAGCCCAATGGCCAACTCTAGTTGCATTGACTATATTTTGTTTGTAAAGATGATGCATCATTTACTGTATTCAGTATACATAATACCCATTAGTGTATTTTGATTTCTTTTTAAGATAAATTAAAATAGCAATTCCTAAATAACTTGCTATCTCTGAAATAGTTTCTATGGACTTAGTTCACCTTAGACTTGAATCCTCCATATAATAAAACATTTAGCTAGCTGTAAAAGCAGTGTGGATTTTTGTATTTTTTCTAATACAATATGGTACCAAGAATTTTGCAATTTAGCAAATCTCTGATTTCCAGTTTTTGAATTATAAAACTTTTAATATTAGTGTTATATTGTCATATTAAAACCTTTATAAATTTATCCATAATGAGATTAATAAAGTAATTTAAATTAAAAATAAAGAAATTAAATGATTTTATTGATTTGGTTTTTTATTTCATTTATGAAATTCATTTCAAAATCATATTTTTAAATATCTGTTGTTGGATTTTAAAACATTAAAAATATTCAGAATGTATAATTATATTTATTGTTTCCTTAAAGATTTATAATCAGAAAAATATGAATTAAGGTTATAAACTAAAAATATAATTTAAAGATATTGAATTTTTAAACTTTAAATACTTATGCACAATTATTTATTGTGATGTCACAATGCTGGGCTGCAATTTTTTATCATATTTTTAATTAATTTCATTTAAAGTATATATGCTCTTCACCTCAAGTTAGTACTGCAGCATCTTGCCCCTGTATATCATGCTTTTCCTTTAACAATAGAGTTGTGCAGATCATCTATTAACTGCTTTCAGGGGAAGTTTTGAATTAAAATAATGTGACTTCTGGTTTACATCAGAAGTTCATATATAGTTAATTGGGGCCTCCTGCCCCTAAAGTTTCCATATCTGGTCTCGGATTTTGTCTGACTCCGTTCTCGAGATTAAGGAAAGATGGACAACAGTACAATTATAAATTGGGTTACAATTTTTTCAAATTGCAGCCCAATAATTAATAAATATAATTTCTGAAATTTTAAAATTTAATGGTAACTTTTTAATGCATTCTATTACAGGTAACCCCCGTATAACACGGCACTTCTATAGCACGGATTCACTCTAACACGGTTCGAGAATTGGTACCATCCCCCGTATAACACGGTACTTTTATAGCACGGATTCACTCTGACACGGTTCGAGAAATGGGTAAAACCCTCGTACAACATGAAATGTAATAAATTTTTACACACTGAAGTACTAATAGTTCACGAAAATTATTATTTCCGTGAACTATTAGTACTTCAGTATGTAAATTTTCTTTTCTCGTCTCCATACACATGGTCCTTCGCGAAAATTGTTTCAATTTTGTCAGATCTCGACACTTCTGCTTCTGGTGTTTCCAGATGCTTTTCCGTTATTCCATAAGTGCTTAGCACCATATAAGAAAATTTATAAAGATCTTTTAACTAGAAGCAAGCAATCTAAAATTACATACACTTTTTGCAAAAGGTAAAGCATGAATCTGAAAATAATGCAGAATAATGCATAACGACAACTTGCCAAAAATAAAACGCTCTCGGTTAATAGTGCTTTTAGTGATGACAAAGAAAACATTGTTTAATTTATATTAATATGTATCACTTAAGAAAATTTTAATAAAGATATTTATCTTAATTATGAAAATATAGTAGCATGTTTTTTTAATTTTTGGAACCTAACCCTCCTTTTCGTACTAGTTCTTTGTTTCGCATAACACGGATTCGCATAACATGGCAATTTTTTGGAACGTAACTATCGTGTTATACGGGGGTTACCTGTACTTAGAAATGTTGTAAAAATTATTATTACAGAAAAGGAGAAGTTAGTAATGTCTAATAAATTAATAAAATGTTATAATACGTTAAATATTTATTTATTTATTATAATTTTTTATTTAGAAAATAGATACTGAATTAAAACATATCAATATTTGCAAATATTTATAGTAATAAATTTGTTTCAGGTGTTTAGAGAAAGAAGAAAATATGAGTGTCTCAGAACTAGTAAGACATCTATATTTATTTTTTAAATAAAGTTTATTAACATTCAAAAATTGTTGTTTGACTATTTTAATTTAGTATAAGAACCAAAATTATGGACTGCTAATGAAATCTATTTTAATTTTTTTTTCAAAATTTTATGGAAAATGTTTTTCATCTTCAGAATATGTCATTCTAAATTTGAAAAGAGAAAAACTTTTATTTCAGATTTTAATATTATCTATTTAATTTTAATTTTATCACTTTAATTAATTTTTGCTTCCATTCATTTTATGTTATTTTCAAATTATTATGCTGAAATAATATTTTTCAGCAAAATAACATTAAAAAAACAAATATATCAGTAAACAAATGATAATTACAAATTAAAAATAGTAATAATACAATAACAATTATAATTATTACTGTATGCTGATATTACTGTAAAATTAATGTTAAAAAATGAATTACATATACAAAATCAAACCAAATACAGTAAACTTTTTCATTCGTCTCTAATTATCTATCAGTCTCTCTGAATCATCAAATTATTGAGTGTGCAAATTGTGAAGTTGCACACTCAATAAGCAGCATGCACTTATTACTTATTTTATGATGTGATTCTCATTTTATCATTAGTCCTTCATTGCTTAAAAGTGATGAACTAGTTCAAACATGAAGAAGACCAATAAGTTGACAACTGAATCATAATTAGGCACAATGAAACTGAAATTATGCTTTAAATCTTTTTTTAAATCAATGAAATTATGCTGTTAAAGGAATTATTTGAGATGCAGGAAAGAGCATAGTCAACACAAGTGCTATTTTTGCATAAAATTCACAGCATTGCTTCTGTGAAGACTAGGAATGCACTAAAAAATTATTAATTATTTAAAAATTAAACTTATATATGTGTTTATGATATTTGTTTTATATTACATTGTTTATCTACTATATGTTGGAAATACAATGTGTTCCAATATTCAATCTCTATTCATATATGTTCCAAAGTGAATTTTGTAACAGTTGCAATTGCAGCAGTTTTGCATGCTTTTAGTTCTTCAATGCTATTCACTTTTGATGATTACATAATGGTTCTAGAGACCAGGGTGGCCATAAAATAGCCCATCATTTGTCATGGCAATAGACCTTCTCTTGTGAGTAGGGAATTCGATCCCGGTCCTTATTTCTAATCCCGGAATTTCGGGATTATACTTATTCAATCCCGGGATCCCGGGATTATTTCAGTATTGAGGGTTAATAAAAAATAAGAAAATCTTACAGAAATCAAAAATCAAAATTTAGACAAAAATCAACGTATTTTACGGTATACACCTAGTTAATTTAATCACTCTAACTAATCAGACTTAGAGTCAGACTAACCAGACTTAAAATCACTGTTTCATGTTAAATTTATTCTTTTTTAAACATCACTGAGATCACTTTAAACTCACATAAATTGAAAAACCTTTATGAAACAAACTATGCAAATAAACGTTGAAAATTAACAAAAATCTCTCTTAACATCGACTAAATAGACTACTTTCATATAGCAACCTAGTAAGTAGGTAGTAAAGTAAGTTTCTTAGCAAAAAGTATTTAAAAATAATATTAATCAGTCACATTTTTCTTAAATATAAAGAAAACTAATCTAATAGGAGTGTGAGAATGAGGACGATGTTTTTATTTTTCACTAACTGCGTAGTTAGTGAGAGTGACTTTCGTCGTCCGAAGGTCATCGACGAGGGACCACGATGTCACGTGACCGGACGCTAAAAATGACCAAATAAGGAGTTTTCTACGGTGCGGATATAGTATAGAAAATTTCCTAAAAAGGTCATCTGTACGATGAGAAACATTACCTAAAATGGTAAGTCATCTCCCTAGGTGATGACGAATTTAACATTAATTGGTCAAGCGAAGTCTGCATTGTCGTCACCCATGACGGGGGAGACTGTCATAAATCTGGAGAACTGTCAAAAGAGTAGCAGATTTTCCCACGCTATAGAGTATATAAAGGGGTCAAATTTTCTACTCCGCGCGCTTGGCTGAGGAGCTAACGCCGAAGAAACCCCTCTGCAAACCTCAAGAGCGATCGTCGCACGATCTTCCAGCACTCTCAGGATCTAAGAAGCTCATAATTGCCGCTCCATGAAAGGTAAAGGACTTTGCTTATTTTCTATTCTCTCCATATACGACGGAATTACTCCTCGGAGAGGTTGATTGAAGAAACCTCCGAAGAACTTCGTCAAGGAAGAACTCTACATATTGGGAGCGACGGAGCGTACACCGTAACCGGACATAGCCACACGGCCTGAGAAGGACATCACTCCACATAGCCTTCAAAGGACGCCTCAGAATACTAGACGACGATCACAGAGTGTTTATCAACGCCCAATAACGTGATAACGTTTCCTACAAGGTAAACCCTTGCATTATAATTTGTCTCTCTCCAACGTGAGCTCTCTCTCGAAGTCTAGCGTTAGGTTAGAATAGGTTCTAGAAACATATTTATTTATATCTTAACGCGCGGGTTATATCTATTATCTTATGTATAATTTCTTAGTTGTTTATTAAATGTGTTCGTTAATTTAAACCTGTGTAATCTTTGGCCACACGACTTCCGACTCCTCCCCACTCATATTTTTGCCCTCCTATTGCCATCCGACAACCGAGAGCGGGTCTTCCCGACCCGTGCAGATTAAGTGGTCATTAGGGTTCGACCCAGTGACCCCCTGCTGCTCACA